ATGCAAGGTGCACTCTCTCCACCTCCACTGCTACCATGCACACCTCTTGCCTGGATCACTACAGTACCCTCAAACTTTGTCCCTTCCTGCCCAAATCCATTCACCACACAGAAGCCAGAGTGATATTTTAAAAATGTAAGCCATATTGCCTCACTCCCTATTCTTTTTTTTTTAATTATAGACTCAGAGGATGTTGCAAAAAATGTACAAGCAGGTCCCATGCATGCTTCACCCAACTTCTCCTAATGTGAACCCTTCACTGACTTCCTATTGTTCTGTGAATAATATCCAGAATTCTTCAGTTGACCTCCAAAGCCCTTGGGATTGACCTCATCTTGCTCTGCCACTGTCCCCACTGCTTGTTCAGCTGCACACCACAGTGACTTCTCGCAGTTCTTCAGCTGAGCCAGGCTCTAGGCCCACTTCCAGCCTTTCCCTGCCTGGAGCCCTTCCTTCCCCACCCACCCCGTTTCTCTGATCCCACCATTCTCCTTTACCCTTCAGGCCTCAGCTTTATTATTCCTCACTTAGCTAGCCTTTCTTGACCACTCGTTCCAAACAGGGTCTCCTTTATTATTCAGTTTCAGAGCACATTGTCCTCTTCAGCATTTCCCCTTTTAACCTAGAGTGTTTTGTGTGTATGTGACTTTTCATGTCTGCCCCACCTCTAGACCCTCAGCACCATATGGCAAAAGCTTTGTCCAATCTGACCATCGCCCAAGCCAAGCCCAATGTCTGCACATAGTAGGTACTTCAGATTGAATTACAGACCTGTCCAGGTATAAGTTCTGTTTCTGTCAAGTAAGAAATTAGATCATTCTGAGACTCCTCTGCATTGCAACTTCTTCCTTTGTTTTCCTCCCCACTCCAATATCCACGAAGTTGCTCGACCCAATTACAATAAGGGCATTTAATTTTCTCTTTGATTTCCCTTCAATAACAGATTGTGACTTGTAATTCATTTAGCATACGTTGAAACCTGAAAAATCTATGATTATGTTCCCAAGCAACAAGCTTGCTATAATAAAGACAGAGAAAAGATGTCATCTCTTGAGGAGAACCTGGAAAATGACTATTTCTGGCAGAAAACTTGTTTTGTCTCATAGACTGGAGCTTCAGAGTCATTCATGAATGAGTAATGAACTCAGGAAAGATCAATGAAGCATTCTCTTAACCCACTCAACCTATTTTGCTGAGAGCTGAATAAAAGGAAAGTTGCAAGGAGAAGATGATGAGAGATTTAGGAAGAGAAAAATGTAGTTGCTGTAATTTAATACAACTCTTGAAGGAGTGAAATTGGGCAATTCATCTAGTTTACTGAATAGTTTTTCAGGCTTCAATCATGAGTCACCTAAGTAATTTTTTTCTTTGCCATTTAATTCCAATGTTTATTTGTTTTATTATTCCCCAACAGTAAAATAAAATAGTGTGCAAATGCCAGAGGTTTTTTTTTTTTTTTTTTTAAGAGAGGTGGCCGCATACAAATCTTGGTGGTCTTTGCTTTAGTATATGACTACAATTTTAATCTAATGCCATATGCTTTTTTTTCCCTCCTCAGGGAATTATTTAAAACATTTAACATATTCTCATCTCCTTTCTTAATAGATAATGAGTTGTCCTCTGTAAAGTTTTTAATGATGTAGAATAACTGCAAATTAAATAACACGATCAGATTCTGATCAGAAAATAGTGGTGCAGGCAATTCTGGTGCTAAGTACCGCAGCGTTGAGCATGTGGCAACATACATCATGTGGACAGATAAGAAGTGAGGAACTGCAGAAAGACATTGCTTGGTGACTGGTGGGTGCCTGGTCCCTGAGCCCAGGAGGACCTTCTGTTCCCAGCATCATACCCCCCTGCTAAAGGAAAGCAGCCCTTACTCCAAGCTTCTGACCCAGCTTTATATTAGAGGACAAGGCCAACATCAGCGCCCTGGAGTTGTCGATAGGTACTGCCACCTGGGGCGCGTCAGTGCATAGGCCCTCCAGTGGTGGTGGGACAGCTGCTTTCTTGTTTTTGTTCGTTTGTTTTGCTTTTACTTTTTAAATCATTTTCCAACAGGCTACACATCCACATGCACCGTTTCCCTATCACAGAAGACAGCAGGAAGTACTTGGAGACAGGAGAGAAAAGAGTCAATAAACTTTTTAAATATTGACAGCCTTGGTCTATTTCCACAGCTGGGGGAAAATTCAGATGCCACACGAGAGATTTCTGTTGAACTTTCAGTCGCATCTCTCATGATTTCTGTTATTCCAGGAAGCGTCAGTCTCCGATGCCTCCTGCTGAGGTGATGTTAAGAGACTGTACTAAGAATACATGCCACCTTTCTTTGGCAGAGTTCAAAACACTTCTTGTATATTCAGCCAAACAGAGTGAGGAGTAGAGAGTTAAGTTCTTTGCAAGTATCAAGGCCAAAAGTGAAAGCTGTCTTGCTGAGTGAGAGGAGAACTCTTCAGGAGACAAACCTGTGAACAGTGATTCCACCTGTCACCTGCCGGCTGCTTTTTGTGCACGTGCTCCTGGGCTGGCTCTCTGGGAGAGCACAGGGAAAGGACTGACAGGAGAGAGGGAAGTAGCATCCTCAGAGGTGTCTGAGAGGCTTCTCCTCCTTCCTCTGCCTCACTCTGCTGCCTCAGCCGCCCTCATCAAGAGAACGATTGGTAGATGCTATTCTTCCCTCTCTTGAACTAATTCTGTGACTCTACAATGCCCCAGGACATTGGGGCCTTAATCCACTGAAATCCCAGGAACAAATAAGGGACAATAGCCCCCTTGATTGTCCACAGTAGCCTGGACATAAGTTCACTGGCTCCTTCAACCTCCCATTAAGAGAAGGAAAAGTCAGTTTGGAAACTGAGCTGTAAGTTGAGGGCCAGACTCAAGGTCTATAATAACCGAATGGTAAAACTTGTCCCAGATGTGAGACTCTCCCTCCCCAGTTCAACAGACGTGATGGTTTTTCCTAAATCAGTGTTGTTACGTCACTTGTGGAAATTATCCGAGTTCTTCTCACCCATTTCTTTCCAGTTCCCTGAAGCTTATATTCCCTGTGTCCCTTCTTTCAGCTCTCCCTGTCATTCCTGATTTGCTGCAGTGTTCTTTTGCACAAACACTCTTGTCATTTTAAGGGTACAGTTCCTCGTCGTCCAAGGGACCTTCTTGCTCTTTGAAGGGCTTTAGCATCCCTGGCCCCAGGCACCAAAAGCCAGTAGTGCTCTCCCTGATGGATGTGACCTGCGGAAACACCCCCACTCAGTTCCAGACACCTGGGGTTGGCAGTGAGGGGTGCCCCAGTGGAGAACCGCTGCCAGAGGCTGGGACAGGCCCTTGCCCTGCCATCTAGCCCAGTACTGCCAATGTTTCTTCTGTCTTTAAAATTCTGCTCAGATTTCAGAGAGAAGGATTCCCTGACTGATTCATTCATGTACTGTTTACTCAGCAGATAGTTATTGATACCCGCTGACAGTTCTAGGCACTGTTTGAGGAGCAGCTGCCCATGTCTGCACCTTCTGAACGCTGTCCTGCCTTAATCTTTTCATTTTCATGGTGTTTCAAAAGTGTGCTCAAATCATCGCTGGACCTCTGTTCTGACCTCCTACCTAGGGATGAGCTTCTCCAGGACAGTGACTCCCTCTACTTTTATTTTTATCCCTCCTGGAGCCCAGTACAATAATCTCCATGTAGTGGGATTTGGTAGATGTTGGACTGACTGACTAATCCAAGGACAGGCAACTATCACCAAGGGTATATTTTATTTCTGTAACAGGGATAATGACTCTGATGGGTCATTTTTTTCTAACCTGAAGATTCTATTTGTCTGCTATCTAAATGTAATAAGGGAACAATGCAAGAAGTATTTTGGTGTCCCTCGTCAACAGTAAATGTGCAAGGTAAAAAAGGGCCACATGCATGCTCCTTTTTTCCCAGTGCACCCCGAGGAAGCCTGGTCTTATGGCCTTCCAGTTGTGACTCCTAGGACAGAGAACATAGTGTGCAGAGGGCCTTCCTTAGCCTTGTAGTGTCCAGTAATAGAAGACAAATCAATGAAAACTAGAATAGGCAGAGAAAAGGAAAACAAGTACAAAAATGGTAGAATCTGATGGAGAAATGGAGGTCTTTTTGTTTTACTTTTACTTTTAGTTTTTTATTATGGAAGACTTCAATATGCACACACATGTCCCACCTTCAGTGAGTAAAAAAGCAAAAACCAAACCAACACATTTTCAATACAAAATGAAAATTTGGTTTATTTCACATACAGAGATGGCCAGAATACTATAATAACCCCTACACACACCGTGTGCTCATCCCCGGACTCCAGCAGTTCCCACCCCAGGGCCACCCTGTTCCGTGTGTGTGCACACCCACTCTGCGCTCCCTCCCACGGGATTATCTTACAGCAGATCCCAACATCATATGATTTCATCCATAAATATTTTTTAATATGAAAATCTAAAAGACTCTTTCAAAAATCCTTGCCATGATATCATGACTATGCCTAAAACAACAGTAATCCCACAATATCGTGAGATTTGTAGTCAGCATTCCATTTTCCAACTGTGGAGACTTTTTCAATAAATATGAAAACCGGGTCAAAAATTACACATTCATTGGGAAAGACGCTACAAAGGATCCAAAACTGGTCTTTTTTCTTATAGGAAAGAAGAATAAGGCCATGGGAAAACGATTTCAGAGAGTAAAAGCAAAATAGCTCTGGTCTTTACCAGGTTTCCTGAGACCTGTCCAACATCACCTTGGTGGGACACTTCTCACCTCCCCAAACCCAGCCCCTGGTGGCAGGTGTGCGTTGCAGGGCTTCAGTTGGCTCTTTAGGAATGTTCGTTTCATAACATGACAGGGCTCTCTGCTGTGTTGCTAGTAGTTTACAATTTGGCCACATGACAAAAATGTAACGCAGGTTTTTTTAAGTGTTGATTGAACACATAATTTAAAAGTCAGAATATTAAATAAACATCTCTGCCCTTTCTTTCTTCCAGCAGGCAGCCCAGAGAACTGCTCTCCGCGCTCTCTCTGACAGGTACATTTTGTCATTTTTATGAACTATAAATTGCTTTATGAAACATTGAGCCCTATTTATTGTGGCATATAATTCATAATCGGATTTTGTCCCTAAAGTATCTGTGAACTGGGATGTTAAACATTTTGCATGCTTGGATTTGTCATGCGTGTGTGGAGTTTATTACTGCAAAAATCGCCCTGTTGTATTTCATATCAAGTATGAAGAATCCCTTGTTGTGCAATGAAACAAGAGACAAGAAACTTAGAGGAAAAGGCCTGAATGGTGCCGTAAATTCCGAACTTTGGAATTGGTTGAGATCTAAGCTCATTTTTCAGCAATAAGTACTTCATTTATTTTGAGATGTTTTCTTCAGACATTTTCCGTATCATTTCACTGGGTACTTTCTATCTTCTGATAAGATTCTCTCCTGAAATACTTTATGCATGTGGCCAGCAGCAGCCCCTGATCCTGAGTGCCTGGCTTGTCACTCCTCGCTTTGGTTTATTTCTCTTGACTTATGTCATTGAATGAGATGTGCAAACCTAATCAAGAAACACTCGGGCTGTATTGCACATCCTGCTTTGCCTGAAAGGCTATAGATAGATAGTTGAACGGGGATATGTTAATATAAAGTTACTTTCTAGAACAGACCCCAGACCCTTTTTTTTTTATTTGATTCATTTTTGCACTTACTAAGGTTAAAGCATGTATGTCTGTGTGTGTCTGTGTGTGTGTGAGGGGTCTGTCTGTGTGTGTCTGTGTGTTTGTGTGTCTGTGCGTGTCTGTGTATGTGTCTGTGTCTCTCTGTGTGTCTCTGTGTGTGTATGAATGTGTGTGTGTGTGTGTGTGTGTGTGTGTTGAAGAGCTGTCAGGAGGTAAAGATGAAGCCCCTGTGTGTCTCCACAAGGGAGGTACGTACAGTGCTAGACACAGCAGGAGGAGATGCTCCCCTCGGCTGGCTGACAGGCACCTCAGCGCTTCTAGCTAACCTTCCCCAGCCTCCCCTCCTTCCTGTTTCCTTTTTCATGGAATGAGCAATCATTGACTGTGTAAACCAGCTTGGCTCAGTGCTTCTCCCAGGTAAAGCCTGTCACTTAGGAGAATTATCTGATGTGTATGGGTGAGAAGCATTTTCTCTATGGCAGCGGGCTGAGCGTGAGTATTTTTATTTCTATCGAAAAGCCTCCTCCATGCAACCGCATAAGCCCGCGTGTCATGACGAGTGGCTGGGAAGCACGTGTGCCTGGCTGCTGGTCAGGGCTCGGCTTCCCCACCTGTTGGGATGCCCACCCAGTGGGTCTCCTTCTACAAAAAAAAAGTGGTTGCTACATGATCTTCTGGTATTGCTTTTGGTTTGGGGGATTTTCACAAAAGCTGATGACTGTTCTGCTTCTGAGTCTGTTGGTAGAAGGAGGAGAGAGTCTGGATCAAAACACATTTGGAATATGACACAATAATTCCTTTCCTGTATATACTTCTTTTTTCCCTTTGACTTTTCTTCTTAAGTAAGCAACTCCATCAACAAAATGCATTGAGAAGCAAAGGAAAGCCCTCAATTTACAATACTCTGTTGTTGCTAACGAGTACTAGGGTTTCTCTTTGGGGTAATGAAGATCTTGTGAAATTAGTTTATGGTGATGGTCGCACAGCCTTGTCAATATACTAAAAACCATTGAATTTTATGTTTTACATAGGTGAACTTTATGGAATATAAATTACATTTCAGTAAAGCTACATATATAAACACAAAATGTCATTATGACCTTTAGGAGAATGAATCAAAACCTGTTTTGGAAAATATGGACTCCCTTTGAAGACATGGTTGCGAATACAAACACAATTCAGCAGAACTGGGACGGATGCGTTCCAGGCTTCTTCCCAAAAGACACATGACTTTTCCCTGGGTAGAAAATGTTCATGGATTTTAATGATGAGCAATGCTATTCCCTTGGAATGTTTTCTGATATTCTTAGTAAAACCCCTTGTCAAGCCCATTCCTTACCGAGAAACAGAAGTTCCCATTGTCACTACTCTTCTCATAAATTTCTCTATCTTCAAATATAATAGGGCATTTCCCCCACTTCAGTCTAACAATTTTTCTGTTCAAAACCAGGGGAACTTGGTCATTTCAAAATGTCAAGTTGACTTTGTCTACTATTCTGGGAATGCAGTTGTGTAAAGCCACCTTCTCTGCACAGCTTCCATTCTATGTTGTCTACTAATGCAGAGCCACAGAGTAATTTTTGCAAGTGATAAGCATTTGTAACCATTTGAGATGCAATTTAAAACCCTTCTTCAAAATAACAACTTAAAAACGCCTACTGAATTAATTGGATTCATATTTTATTGCTTTTAAATTAGATAATACCAATTTATCAAGTAGCAGATGTCATTTTTATCACATTACTTATTCTTTTGAACAAACCAATATTCTAGAAAAATGACCCATGTGACTCAGGGTCAGACCACAGAACCTCAGGGTGGGGCTGGAATTAAGTGAAGATCCCCCAGGTCATGCCCGTACCAATGTGGGGCTCTAACCCCAATGTCTGCAGAGCCTGGTATTCACCTAGTATACATTTGTTTACACAAACTGTTCTGGTCTCTTAAACTATTTTTGCTTTCAACCTGTTATCACCTCTTCATATAAAATTCCATAATGATTAGACAGTACTTTCATTTTTGTTCTTGAAAATAAAGTACTTTTCAGACCTCAAAAGGTGCTTCCTGAGTTCTGCAATTCTGGAATTGGACATAAAAGCCCACGCTGGCTCTCGCTGCACCACGACAGGCTGCTCGTGGTAGAGAGTGTCTCCTACACACCCCAGTGCCTCATCCTCCTTCAGAGCCTTGGTGTCCTGCAGGTCCCCTCACCCATGGGCCCGTTTCACTTCCATTTAGCCTCAGCCTCGAGTACCCCATGAACACAAGGACATTTGTACAAGGACAGAGTCATTTTGTTTCAAGATGTAGAAATTGATGATGAAACAAGATTTTGTTGACGTGGGTTTGGTGGGAGTGTGCAAGTTTACATTGTAGGAAGCCAGTGGTGGTTCTCTATTTCCCTGTAAGGGAGCCTGCCTTCAAAGCTTTGAGACCTGACCTAATGAGAACACTTATGAGGAGAACAAAGGGGTGCATTTCCCTGTCCGTTTATAAGGGCGTATAGGAATCTCATCCCTCTGGAGTGTTGGAGGTGAGAGAATGTCCAGATGTCTTCTGCAGGTCAATCGTCAATCTTTTCATTTCTCCAAAGTTTCCTGGTTTATTTTCTAAATAGGCATTCAGGCACAGATCCAATATCTGACAGTTCAGACCACATGCTTTAAAGTTCAGGGAATCTTCTGTAATCGATACACAATCTTGATAAATTTAAACTGTGAGATTTCCATGGACTAAATTTAAAAAACCATCTGTGATCACCCCTCTAAGAAACCTTTTGCCTTGTGTAGTTTTGCCTGAGCAATGGGCTTAATTTACGGTTCTGCCAAAATAGCCAAAACGTACTGCAGGTCGAAACTGGGTCAGCAGGTCAAGGCCAAGATGGCTGCAGCCCCGCCACCCCCTGCAATGATGGGAAGGGTTGTATGAGGGTGGGGTGGTTCGTTTTTTTGTTCTTTTCTACTCCTGACTGTAGAATTTTTTCATGTGTCTATTTTATGCCATGGAGAGTCAGCTGGCATACCAGAGGCCCACTGATGCCTCCAGGTAACGAAAAAACCAGGCCAACGGGGCAGAAAGAGGTATCAAAATTCTTGCCAAGGTAAACAAGTCAGTGGATTATAAGAATATCTCAGTGTGCTAAGGGACACTCTTCTTCTCCCTCATAATGTGCCTCTCAAGTGTTTGTGCTTTTTATGGCTCATTGTATTTGATGCAGGTAGGAAGACGCAGAAGAGAAGAGGGCTAAACGGGCATGAGGTTGATTTATAAAGGTGTGTGTGTGGCATGGACGCTGCGAAAGCTGCCGCATCACTCGTAATATGGAAAATATGCAAAGTGCCGTTGGGAGGAAGGAGGGCTATGTGTGTAGCGTGTGAAGTGCCTTGAATATGATTAATTTCCCTTCATCAGTAGTAAATAGTAGATAACTGTGATCAGAAAAGGGATTCGTGTGATTTATCAAGCTGAGCGACTATGCATTTGCAGAGAAGCTGGAGGTCAATCTTGAAATCTAGGGCAAGAGGAGCACCAGGAAATTGCCAGGACTAAGAAGTTAATCATACCCTTGGACTGCTTCCACCTGTCTCAGAGTGACAGGGCTGCTCGTGGCGAGCAGGCATGCTTTATAGCAGCAGATCAGGAATTAATATTTTCTGTGAAACCTCAAGCATCATTTGCAGTAACTTGGGTTTTATAAAAATGGAGCATAATTTTATATGAATAAATCACATTCAGCCAGCACTATGAGAGGCTGGAAAAAAATTGTGCTTGACTTAAGAAAAAAAAAAAACGGAATGAGCAAAAAAGCCAACATGAAAACAGTTGTTGAAGCGATGGCACTTGGAGGGCACAAATGGCCGTGTGGTTAAATTGTGCATATAATCGTCTTCTGAAATATCAGCCTGCAACTCCAGCAATGGCTACATTTTTATAGCCTTGGAGATGCATCAGCAGATTGTAACCTGTCTGCCCATCTGGCAATATCTCAGGTCCAAGATCCATTTGTATTGAAATCTAAACAACTGCCATTGACTTACTCATTTATTCCACAAATATTTACCGAGCGCATCCAGCGTGCTCCGCAGGGTGCTGTGCTGGGGCTGGGGGAGCCGTGGTGGGAAGCAGCCGTGTGCCTGCGCTCACGGCTTCACCAGCCACAGGAGTATTGCCTTTGCAATGAGGAAAGACTCAAGGCTTGAGCATTTGCTGCTTTCAATCTTGCCATTTCTCAAATAAATCTCATACATCAAATCTCCTTGCTTCCCATTAGGGAGAATATAATGAAATTAAATAAATGAGGGATAGCCTAAAATGAAGAGAGTTTCACCTCCACGTAGGTAGAAGAATGCGAAATG